GCTGGAAGAAATTCCTATGACACTCATATTCCCAGCTGCACGGCCACCACTGCCGTGCTTGCTATCTTCCATCCATAGCAAATTCCTTACTGCTCTCCAAATGTTCTTTTATGCCCATTTGTCTCTGCATGGCGTGATAGAGTGAAAAAAATCACAGACTTGAAGTTATGATAAATTCCCAGCCCTGTCTTACTGGCTATAGTATTACCTTGGCCAAGTTACTTACTGCATTTGAGTATCTGTCTCCTCATCTATGATATGAATGTAATCGTACCTCATGAGGTGGCTGTGAGGATTAAAATGAATTGATACATATAAATGACCTAGTACTAGGTGTCAACCTAGTATGGCGTTATAGGACTCAACCTGTGCTATTCCCTGTCACCTTCTCATGCAATGGCCAACTCCCATAACTCCACCTCCAAGTCTGTCTCACTGTGTTACTTGGTGTGCATGTCTCAGTGCTGTACAACGACCCTGAATAATAGTGTCCTAGACAAGGCAGAAATCTGTTCTCTCTCCAGTAACAGCCCAGGCACCCAGGAGTAGTCCCACACAACTGAGCAGCTCCCCAGTGGCAGGAATGCAGGCCCTGCAACCCGTCGCTCTGTCGTGCTTGAATGCCGCCCTGTCTGCAGGATCCCTGGTGCCACCGTCTCACCTGTACTGCAGCCAACAGGAGGGGGAAGGAGGCATGCTCTTTCCCTTCAAGGCCACGACCCCGAAGCTGGACACAGCTGTTGGCCAGAGTTTCATGGCCACTGCAATAGATGTTGTTCTAAAAATCAAAGGTTCCATTACAGTAGAGGAACGGAAGAACCAATACTGGAAGGATAGCTGGCAGTCTCTGCTACTCTGGCAAACTCCAACCCTTCCTTCACAACATCCTTCAAGATTAGCTTCTCAAAAAACCATCTCAATATAATGTAAGGTGATGCTTTGCTGAGTAAAGTATGGGCTAGAGTCAGGAAAATTACCCCATTTAATTATACTCTAAACCGTAAAAACGATTTAGCATAGGGTATAAAACATTGATTTTTCTATGTTCCTTGAAAACCTGGATTTCTTTGAAAGTGACTCTGTGAATCTTAAGGACTGAATGTTTGTATCACACCCGCCTCCCTCAAATTCATATGTCGAAGCCCTAACCCGGTGTGGCTGTATTTGGAGATGGGGTCTCTGAAGAAGTAATTAAAGTTAAATGAGGTCCTAAGCATGGGTTATTAATCCATATGACTAATGTCCTTATGAGAAGAGACTCCAGAGAGCAAGCTCACTCTGTCACTCTCCAGGGACGTACCATAAAGAAAGGCCATGTGAGGACAGGTGAGAGAAGGCGGCCATCTATGAGCTAGAAGCTGAATCAGTCAGAACCTTGACTCATCTGTCAACAGGCAGGGTCACTTGTCCACTGCTGTGTGCTCACATAAACCACTGGGCCCTTGCCTCTGTTCCAACTATACTGAGCTGTGTGCACACACGCCACAATTCAGGAACAGGATGACACGCAGGTTCCATCTCGTGTGCCAACTCCAGGTGATCAGCAGTGGTAACCTGGACAACTGGTAGTGAGATGAATTGTGAGACTGAGTAGGGCTCCGTGGGGAAAAGAGCTGAGATCAACTAGGAGTGTCTGTTGTGGTCACAGGAGAGAGGAGGGGCGGTATTTATGATTTATGCCTCGTACTTGTTGTCTCTGAGGCAGACTTAATGAAGACCCTTATATATGGCAGATAGTACACATTCCATAAATGTTTACCAAATGAAAAAGGAGAAACGTATGTTACTTATCAACAGTCTGGAAGAACACCCTGCAGCAAGAGCAGAAGCTGTTTGCTTGCTTATTTTTGCTGTAGCTGTCATTTTGGTAGCAGCTAGTTTGTGACATACAAGGTCTAAAATCTGGTCCTTGGTCCCTTTTGATGCTTTTGGGAACTTGCTACATTTTAGGACGTATCTTAACACATCAATAAGCTCTAGGACAGAAACTAAGTCTTTTTCTTAGCCTAAATATGCAGTGATCAGATTTCCAGAAGCAATAAATGGGATTTTGTTTTCTGTTTGTGTAATCACTTGTCTGAAAGTATAAGCATTGTATCAGTCATATTTAGTTAAACAGTTAACATACTTTCTTATGAGTAAACATGAAATGATGTAAAATTTGGATTTTTCCAATAAAATCAGAATAATATGTATTAGGCACGCACACATATGTGTGTGTCCCTGACACAGTGCTACATACAATACAGCACGTGCATTAAGAGGATGTGAGGGAGAAAGCCAGGTTACCTTCCACAGCAGTGACATGCATGTCTGGAAGTCTGATGAACAAAGGACGTAGAGGGTAGGTTGATGAGAGTCTTGAATATCAGTTCACCTTGCAAAGCCAGGCAACAAGACCAAATTTCCACAGGCACACAAGCAAATGAGGACAGAATTGCATGGAAACTGAGACTGGCAAGTCCAAGCTCTGATGCAACAGTGTGTGATATATAAGATCACTGACTATATTTCCTCACCTCCTGATAGCACATAGTATAGATATGAAATTCAAGTCTATTTTTTTTAGATGTTTCAAGAAGCTATAGTCAGCCTCTCAGTGTCTGTCTCTCTCTCTCTCACTCTCTCTTTCTCACTCTCTAACAGGATTGAAGTCAGAAGGCCTTTATAGAGTCTCTGGGTTCACTGAACACATTGAAGATGTCAAAATGGCATTTGACAGAGGTAAGCTTGCACTTTCCTAAATGCCATCTGACATCCTTAGTATCCTGTCTTTTGGAACCAGATTTTATTCATAGTGGGAATGGGACTGAGAGTTATTCTTCGGGAACCTGAGTAATAATGGCTTAAAAACCTCGTGGTCCTACCTCTCTGGGTGAACTGTTTCCTTAGAAGCCAAGGTCAAGTGACCACATAAGGAAGTGAGTTTAAAATACTACTTGGGTGGGCAGCCAATCCACATGGCACCAGTACCCTTCTGCACGCCCTACCTCAGGATCCCGTTGACTCTTCTCGTTCTCTCAGAGCTCCAAAGAAGGAGCATGGGGATGGGGGGCACCACCAGCACTGAAGTAGGGGAAGCCAGTGGAAGTTTAGGAGGTAACTCTTTTGTTCTTTTTGATGGTGACCTATATTCTCTAGGCCAGGGCACAGTATGTCTTAGGTCAAATATAGTCAACTCGGGGATCCTGCTTAAAACACAGATCATCAGGACTAACCCTGAGGACTCATTCTGAAAGCTGGATAAGCCGAAGAATCTGTATTTCTAATAAACAATCCAAAGAATTCTGGTGCAGCCAGTCAGGGGATGGGACCCCTCGCCTACGGGCAGAGCCTCCACTTTGTAGCACAGTATACAAGGTCTTCGACAATGTGGCCCTCCTTCTCTGTCCCCACTCATCTCTAGGTCCTCATCCCTGTTATACTGTACACCCCAGCAATCCTGAAATACACTTTGTTGTCATGAATAAGTCCCTCGGCTTACATTGTCTGTCCATCTGGAATGTGTTCACACCTCTGCCTGGCAAACACCTGCTAATCAGGGATCAACTCAAGTCTTCCCTCTTCCGAGAAGCCTCCCTGATGCC